GCTTCTCTCCATTCTTAAGGGGATGGTCAAAGGGAAGGCTTCAGAGATTAGTCAGCAGCCAATGAGCCTGAATACACTGGATGAAATTTCTTTAAGCCAGGGATGGAGAACCTGTGGCCCCATCCAGAGCTCTTCCCCCCTTAATTTTTCCCTTTGGGCCAAAATATTCTTAGGACCTTCCACTCTCTTTGTCCAGCTTTCTTTTACTATATCTAAGATTCCTCTGGGTCATCTACCATATAAGAGCTCAAAGGGACTGAAACCAGTGGATGCCTGTGGAACTTCCCTATATGCAAATAATAGGTAAGGCGATCACATATACCAATACTTAGGATTTTCTGCTGCATATTTCTTTAACATGTTCTTTAGTGTCTGGTTCAATTGTTCTATAACTCCATCTGCCTGAGGGTGACAAAGATTAGTACAAATTCTACAGTTCCTAGATCTTCACACAGATGTCTGAGTAAAGTCAATTGGAAATTGATCCTCCATCCCTCCAACAGAGCCAACACAATTTTTTTCTGCTCCCAAATTGCTGGTTTAACATTACGCCTATCTGCTATCTTTGACCAAGGAGGCTATTATGCACCCACACTGGAGAAACTAACTACTAATGGCAAGAGGAATCCTAGATTACTCCAGTGGTAAGACAGCAGTCACAATACATTTCATGCCTAATCAGCAGCAAAACTATAATGTATCAGCATAACCAGAAGCTTTTAATTTTAACAGTATGGTACAGGACTGAGGATCTGGTACTACTGCATCATTTCATTTTATTATATTCACAAGACCAGCATTCCCCAAAGACCACACATTCAGTCCTTAAAAGGAAAGAGATAAAATAGAAACAATAAAAAGTAAATCTGCATTAAAAGTAAAGAGAAAAGAACTGTGACAACCCAGTGACTACACTAAGCCCTGAGCAACCATAAACTCTTTGAAGGTAACTACTATAGCACAAAACATAGAAACTGTGTGTCTGTGTGTGTGATGGCTATCTCTGTCTGCTAACATGCATAAAAAGTCAGTGTACTCTGAGAATTCAGCCACTATAGGAAATGCCATCTTTCCAGATGCTGTTGACTCTTTATTAGCCCCACTGGCATCACCAATAGCTAGGGAGAATGACTTATAGTTCTAACTATTCCTGAAGGGCCAAAAACCTAGTATAGAGAAAGTTGTCTTTTTCCAGTGAAAACCCAACACTGATGAAGAAGTTCTTTCTGTTTTATAGAATTGTAAGAAGCACAAGGACAGTTTATGAACTTACACCGGGATCAGAGCAGCTGCTTCATCTGGGAATAAACCGAAGTATAGGTTGGATGCCATCTTGACCTACTGTCATTTTTGTACAAAATCAGATTTGAGCAAATCCTCCACAAAGTGGCATGAAAGATTGATTTATGTTCTCTACCCCATTGTGAAACTATTTTGCAAGCATTATATTGTGCATCCCTTAGTAACTTTTAGCAGAACACCACATGAACTTCATCTGGCCAGCATAAAGACCATGTAGCCATGTGATCACCGAAATAACTCCCTTCCAATCCAAGACTTGGCTTTTAAAATGTTTGCAAGAGCAAGCTGGTAATTCTACATTTTAAAGCAATTTAGTTCTAAAACAGCATTCCTCTTTTAGGAAACATTTTACAGAAAGAGAGATGTTACCTCTAGCAGCCTTTTTCTACCTGGTACTCTCCCACTGTGTTTCAGATGAGCTCTCCAAATAAAAATTATGAAAAATATCAACCCATCTGGAGGACACCGAGTCAGGAAACACTGGCCTAAATATCTGAATAGCCCAGATAAACATACAAAATAGAAACCATTTAAGGTATTCAATGTTTGAACCATGAGTAGCATTCATCAATTTATTAATCTCAGAAATGTGGAAACACATGTTTTCTTCCAGTTAATTTGATTTCTCCTTAACCCAAATGCTAATCTTAAACTGTGTTTACCCAATTTTTAAAATTGCTGCTGAAACTCAGCTTTGGCTTGCATATAATTAACTACTCTGCACATACAGTACTCAGATGCATCCCCCCCCCCCCCCCCCCGATATTGTGCAAGCCTGGGAGAAAAGTATCAGCTTTCCACTATAATTTTGACTTCTCAGTAACTTTCCCTTCAGCAGAGAAAAGAAAGGGGAAAGAAAACTCTAGTACAGAGAGAGCAAACCTGAGCTCATTTGAAGAGCTCCCACATAAGCAAAATAAAGAACCCACCCACACAGAAAAACCACATTAAGTAAATCATTTTTAAAGAAAAAAAGTGGAGCAAATATCCCAGTTCATTTTAGTATCTTTCTACCTTATTTCAAATGCTTCTCAATGCTTCTTATCTTCTCTCTTTATGGATATTTAAAAGTATTTTGCTTTGAAAGCCTTCCTTAATCCAAGCTCCTCCAGATGTTTTTTTGACTTGCAATTCAAAGGACATATTGGCTGGAGGATCATGGAAATTAAAGATGTCCAATACATTTGGAGGCACCAGGTTGTGAAGGATGCCTTAGACAGGAATAAAAATAGGACATACTAAAATGAACAGCAGTGAAGAATCTCAATTATGCTAGGATTTGGGTGAATAGCTTCCAGAGTTAAACCTCTTTGCTATTTTGCTAGATGTACTGAATTGGGAATGCCACTTCTCTCAGAGAAGAATTACACTGGGAAGAACCATCCTCCCTCTCCGGGTGTAGATAAGCCTTCCTCAATGAGATAACCTCAACAATGCATTGGGATAGTCCCCAACTCATTTAGCCAAGCAGGTTGAAAAAGGCTCATTTAGATGGTAAATTCTGAGCCAGACCTGCCACAATTGAAATATCCTGTCTAACTGTAAACCTACTATTGATTCCATAAGTTATAAAGTTATGTGCCTGCACTTTATAATTGTCAGTATCAATGGTAATATTATTATACTTTATAGACAATCAGCAATATAGCACCTGCCAGACTCTAAGAGATGCTCCCCCTCCCCCCAATAAACCTTCAAAATCTTGCAAGATCTTGAAATCTTGCTGTAGTCTCAGGTGGAATCTTGTGACTTGGGAAGGGCACTTGAGCCATCATGTTGTCTTGCATGAGGGCTTCAAGGTTGCCTATTCCTGCCCTATTAACTAGATAGGTGACTGCCAGAGCCTGAGGTTGGCTTTGGGGAGATTGATCCAGGACCAGATCACTGTGATCAAGTTCAGGAATTACAAACTTTCCATGTAACAGGTAAAAGATGTTTTTCATTTAATCAAACAAGGTGAAATTATCTTCCTTGTAGTACTTGACGGCTGGCCAAAGGCATTTTATTGCCAGCTAGCTGGAAAGGCTGTAGTTGGGCATCTGTCTGTCCTAGTGTCTGGAGAGGAAGCTTGAAGTACATGGAGTTAGATGTAGCTTATTGGGTTATGGCTGATCTTTAGATACCAAGCTTATTGATCCAAGCACTAAGTGCTTCAACTTCGATATAAATATTGCCACTATAAATAGGAAGCTGAAAACCCCAAAGCGATCAGCTGGCTAGCCTGAAGCTGTGCCTATTCACATTCTTAACTTTTGGTTTCCTCCTCTTTATCTCCATGTAGAATAATTTCTGAAGCTTCATACATTATAGTACATATAGCTCCCACATAATCATTTAAATGTCCTTTTATATTTCTGGAATATGTTCCATTACAAAATATACATTTGTTAACAAGAAGTCACGTGCTTTACTTAGATTCTCTTGAAGCAGAAGTAATGCTTCAGGTACCTGCTGCTATTTCCTGAGAAGTGTCAAAAGAGTTTAATTCTCCAGCTGGAAGAAGTATTTTCCACTCATTTGTAACTCCACCAGCATTCATGTGCAGGCTAGCTTAGCAGAACAATAGATGTTTGTGTCAGTCTTCAATTTTTAGGAACTTGAACAAATAATGCCAAAAATATTCCAGCCATGTTAATTTCCATTACAATCTCCTCTCTTAACTAGGAATTTATAGGCACATCTGCAGGGGAGAGGGACATTAAATTATACCCTTCTTAACAGGTTGCATGCTTAACAATAAGAAGCAACTTCATATATCCAAGATGCTGATCATCAAAATCCATGCCCCCAAAACATTTTTTGGTGCCCAAGTGCAGCCTGAGTTTTAAAAAAAACCTGTTGATGTCACGTCTTAATCTACAGTATTAAGCTTCTACTGTTGCTTGTTTTACTTTCTTCTCGTTATGCCCTAATAAAAAGCAGAAGGAAATCGCCCAATTAGCAGTGCACTTTCCCCAACATTATGCCCTCCAGATGTGTGAAGATTCACTTCATGTAGCACTCCAACTAGCATAACCAATGCGAAACTTATCTGGAAGGCATGAAGGTTGAGGAAACCTGCCTTATTAAATGGACCTTTTCCTTCTGCAGCTTTTTTTAAGGAATGATAGGCTAGCGATGTGAACCAAAGAAAAACCCATTTTCCTTTCTTATAGTAACCAGCACTGTTGATGAGAAACAGGCTTTGCAAGCAGCCCTTAAAAGTAAAGACTATATCATGCTATCTGCACCATTGCTATCAGAAACAAGATCAGTTTTATTCTAACACGGTGATGTATTTATGCAAAATCTGTTCTACCATATGGATGGTAGGTACAAAGCAAACAAACCTTTGCTAGACATCACAATGAGCAACGAGAGACACTAGCTTTTGAACCCCAGCACTCTCATGAATAAGTAGTAATCAGCAACAGATTTTAATCACCTAACTAACTTACTGCTGGATTTCTGACAAAGAGAAAGACATTGGAAATGAGGCCCAGATTTTTTTTGGCCGCATTCCTTGTCTTTTCCACCACTGCTCTTGTAAAACTTCGCTATAT